TTACAATAATTTAGCATCAGATGAAATTTTAGTGAATTATTGTTAAGATACATAAAGTGAGTTGCAACTAGATATAAGTTTATCTTTGCTAGCATTAATCTTGATTACTTTATTGCTATAATAAAATATCATGGAATTATTATGCTAGTCAATAGTGAAATTAATATGATAAAGTCATGATTTATCAAGTATAAGATTATAGCGTTAAATATTAAGAACTTAAATATTGATATTAGAGATATGATATATATCCAGCTTTAATTTCTTGATTACTACAGATAAGTTGACTTCCTTTTTATGATCATCAGCAAGTTTTACAGTAATAAGATTCATGTTATGTATTTGTAATTAATTATTCCTAACATATACTTCATCAATGAAATTTCATGATACTCCACTATTAAGTAAAATTCAGGCAGACTTTTCATTAACATAGCTATTGTTACTATAGTAACATAAATTTCTTTAATTTCATAATTTTTCGAACTTAGAAAATATGATCAATCAACTGATTTTTAGATAACATGTAATTTTGAATAATATAATTAGTATATCAATTATAGATTCAATTGTGATTCAACAATATTTTTGTAATGTTCTTGCAACATTTTTGTAATGTTCTAAGATCATCAATAAATAATTAGCTCTGAAATCAATAATAGTTCACAAATAATTTAATAATAGTTCAGAAACATTTTAGAAATGGTTTATCAATAAATTTCATTTATTTTTATCTTTTATCTTTTCTTTTTGAAACATATATCTTATCTTTTCATTTTATTTTATCATTTGTATTATCATTTAACTTATCACATGTATCTTATTTCTTATCTTTACTTGTTCATTTATTGATATTTTGTCCTAAAGATTGTAATTATAATCTAGAGTAGTAAATGAGTTTAGATAGAAACTTGTAAAACCTCAAAGATATATAAATATCTCTGTTCTGAGATCTGAAATAAATATACTTGAATAGCAATAATTCAATTATCTTTTGAAAACACTTGAGTTATACTTATCTTGTAATTTTTCTTATGAACTGATCTTGATATTCTGCTTTCAATTATCTCTTTTATTGTAATAGATTATATTTTGATTAAAAAGATTCTTGATAGCTTTCCTATGTGCAAAAGCTTGAATTTGGCATTTGTTACCTCTATTAAAAAAGGTTCAATAAGCTTCCCTACATGCAAAAGCTTTGTTTTACATTTGTTATCTTTATTTTGATTTGGTATTGATTGTCTTAGTTTTGTTTGCATTTGTTGCAATTGTTTAAGCATTTGTTACTTAGTTTTTGGTACCACCCTTAGTTTAATATTCATGATCACAGCTTCATTTTATAATTTTATTTTATTTTATTTTTGCCTTGTATTAATATAATACTCGTAAGTATTAGTACTAGGAAACCTTTAGAATAATTATAATTCTCTTTACCTTTATAAATAATTCAGTCTTTATCCTCAAAACTTATTATAAACTATATTCATGGTAAAACCTACCTTCTAGAGTATAGTTTATAATATTATATATTAATTAAAGGGGAATAAAACTTTGATTTATTTTTAAGTATAAAGATCTTCCTAAATATATTTTAAAAACTAATCTCTGGATCTCTTGTGATGCATTTAGAAAGATTTTCTGTATTTTAGAAATATTATTATCATTAATAAATAAGTTTTTTTTTCATATAATAAATACTAATGATTTATTAAAGTTATATAGATAATAACTAGCATTATAATATTAATATAACATTAATATAGCATTAATAAGAACAGATAAAATATGTCACAAATTTTTTTTATAATCTGATAAAGTATGATAGTTATAGCAATTTATTATATAAATAACAAGTTGCTTCTCTATTTTTTTATTACTTTATTCATTATTATTATTTTTTAATAACTATATTCAAATATTTTTGCAAATCATTAAGATAATCTAAGAAATCTTTCAAAGATAATTCTTCAAAATTAATTGATATAATATCATTCAACATAGAATAAATAGAAATGCAAGCTTCTGATCAAACAAAAGATCTATTTAGTCATATAGTCACAAAAAGTGGACAAGATCTTTTAAAGTTTTTTTGTGATTATAAAGATTATAAGAATTTCCTAATTAAATTTCTTAATCTTACTTTAATAAATCTAAAATTTTGATAATCAACTCTATCTTCTTTTATACCTGTTATTTTATCTTTGCGATTTATTTTTTTGTCTGCTATTTTATTTGCTACTTCACCTACTACTTTGTCTGCTACTTTATCTTTATCAGATTAGTAAATTGATATCTGTAAAAAATTATATAGAGATATTATAAATAAATATTTTTGCTAATTTCTTTCTATTATATATAATAAGTGATAAAAGTAAGCATAAAGAAATTATAAATCTTATTGTGATTTCTTCTCTTCTATCATCTCATTCTTTTACATATCAATTTATTCTATCTAATCATTTATTATTTAGTGATAATATGAAGATTAATAATATTAGGTGTCCTTTATTATTAATATAATTTCTATCTACTTAAGCATCAAATAATGAAAGATCTTTGATCTATAAAGAATTTAAATATATAATAAATATTCTAAACAAAAAAATTAATAGTATATATCATCTCTATCAATTTTTAGGTGATCAAGTACAAGAATAAACCAAATTAATTAAAAAATTAGTTATCACTAACAAATTATCCGAAATATTCTGGAAGAAACTTATCTTTGATTATTTTTAAAATCAAAAATCAATTTGCAAGATCTACTAAAGTTTTTTTTTCTATTATTCTATAAAGCAAGTATACAAGAAGATAGCCAAGAAGTTGATCTTTACAATCCTCTTTCTAATCTTCAAGAAATATTAACAAATATTAGAGAAATATTTGGTAAAAAATGCTAAAAATTATATTGATAATCTGAATCATAATATGTGAATATCTATATTTATAAAAAAATATATTTATCAAATTTGTCATAAATTATATAAATCTATAAATTTTTTATTAATTATTTTTGTTTGATAATTTTAGATAAGAGTAAAATATCATAGTAAATGTAATAACTATACTTCTATTGTCTGAAATGTTATTTTTTCAACATTCAGTAAAGAAAAGTTAGTAAGAGTTGATAATAATATATCTATTATCCACCTTACCAAATGAAAGAGAAATAAGAAAACTCAAACTGCATATAAAAATCTCTTCTAAAATAATAAATTACTTACAAATATCAATTATATGATATTTAAGAAATATAAAAAAAAGTGTTACTATTAATACATTGCATATTTGTTCTAGCTATCTGTAATATTCTTCTCAATCCATCAAGTTCAAAAATCAAATACAAAGATAGATCAGTAGCAAGATATGTATATGTATTTATGATAAGTAATATTTTGAATTTACTTAAAGTTTGCATCAAAAATCATTCATATAATGAATATTTAGTGAGCTATAGAAAATAATCAGTTAGCAATATCAGAAATGATAGTAGAAATAGTAAAAAAAGAAATTGAAAAGGCAGAGCAAGCAGTAAAGAAAAAATACTAAAAGTCATGAACTAAGGATATGATTGAAGAAGATGATAATGAGAAAGATGATAACTATGATAATTTTGTAAATTTTTTTAATACTCTTTGTAATTTATTTCTTTGAAGTCTTTAAAAATACTAATTTTTATTCAAAAGATTATTGACTTGGATCACAAATTTATATAATATAATTTTCTTTAAATTTGTATTTTATTATTATATATATATAATTTATAATAAAATAAATATCTTTATTATTATTTAATCTATGAATTCTACTATTACTTGAAATTGCTACTGCTACTTGAAATTGATATTATGAAGTTTTGCACAGAATTTTAAAAAAAATTAAAAAATCTGCACAGACCTATATTTTATTACAATTTTTTTTTCTTTACCAATTGTTATCAGATTTGAAGTTTTATGTAAATTTTGAATTTAAAGATCTATACAAAACTATGCTCTCAAAAATTTTCTGATATTATATATGACTTACTATATTATAATTATCTTAATTATAAATAGATTTCTTAATAGGATTTTTTTTTAATTTTATTTTATTAATATAACTAGCATATTATTCTTTTTATATTCTTTATTTATAATTATTTATTTCTATATTTATATCTTTATAAGTATCTTTCAGAGATATTGCTATTTAAGTATTTATGTATTAATAATTTTATATAATAATAATTTAGATATTTTTTGTTTTATATTTTTTTTTTAACTTTATTTTATCTTAATAAAATAAATATAAGTTTATATAATTAAATAAAATCTGTTTGCTTTTGACTTAACTTTTATATAATTAAAATAATAAATAATAAAAATAATTTGATCAATTTTGTTACATCAAGTTTTTAGTTCACATAATTTATATAATAATGATCTGTATAATTATTACTATTTAAATTATAAGTAATAGAGAAACTCTCTTTATAAAATTAAATAATCACTATATATCAATTTTACAGATTATTACTATATAAATCAAATTATGAGCAAAAAAAAGATTACATAAATATGTAAATTTAATGCTAACTTCTTAAATTATTTGCAAGTTAAATTATTAATCATTAACTAATTATAATTAAAATCTCTCTATAGTCACATTCTTTATAATCATTTGATTTTGTTTTTCCAAGTGCAGTGTCTACGAAGCTTGATGCGTTCGACTATGTGAGTGATGTATGAAAAGATTCGTGTGATTAAAATTTTTGGTTGAATTTAAAAGTCGTCCAATGACCCAGTTCACGTGAATTCACCACAAGTCCACAAGTTGATTCGCCGGAATTATGTATACAAAATTTTGGAATTGAAACTACGCATTTTTTTCGAACATGGACAGCAAGAAGGTCATAATAACTTGTAAGGTGTCTGACTGATTGTTTAGTATTTTATCTTGAGCAAATAAAGTAAGCTATTTTTCTCATACTTTACTCATACTTACTCATTCTACGCGTAAAGATACCGATGAATATAATCTTTGGCAATATGTTGCCAAAGGTTTTCCTACACATCTCCCACTACGAAATTTACAATGGAAATCTGCGAATAGGCCTGTTCGTACTATACATACTTTGGGTGTGGAGTTTAAACGACTTACACCTGATACTGGAGGAAAGCAGCACCAAATGCCTGCTTCACTCCTTGAAAAACCGTGTTTGAATTTATACTTTGTGAATTGTGATGTAAGTTCGGACCCATTGGCTAAAAGAATTATTTAATTTCGCGAAAAAATGGCGCACAATCATAGAATTTCACAAAACCATCGCATAATTCATTTGTTTTCGATCAAAACGTAGGATAATGAAACATATCGACAATCAGTTAAAAAACAAATTCGTGACTGGTTAAGCATTGTGACTTCTAAAAAAAATCAAGAATGGTTGATTATTTATGTCTCTCACCATGAGTCGATAAGAAATGCTGCTGCTAAATATTTTAATATGAAAGGAACAGTTTTCGACAAAATTAAAGCAGATTTTAATACGCCTAAACGCGATAGGCACGTTATTCCCGATTGATTCTCGTTATCAATATTATTATTAGAAACGACTTCTAAATTTTTCTCTGTAACAATAGATGCGTCTATCTGAGACTATCAGATAACGATTCAGAGGATTTAGAAGCTTGGCAAGATACAATATCAAAAATTAAAGAAGGGATACTTAATAGTTTTGATCAACATGTGATGCAATACGAAGATGATATACGCCGATTAGACGCGCAAAGAACAATTCCTGGTTGGAATTATTGTACGTTTTTTATTTTGAAGGTAAAAATTCGGAATATATTGAACTGAATTCTTTCAATCGTGTAAAATTTTATAAATTACTTTTTTTTAGGAAGGATTAGCGCAATCTTTTGAAATAATGAATTTATATGAAGATGCTTTACTCCAATATGATGAATTAGAAGCTTCGTTTTTCCAGGTGCTGAAAGGTAGATCATTTCCTTGCCTTTTACGATTCATACCTAGCAATATATTATCTTTGATATTAATGAGAATATTTTATTCAAATCAGATAGAGCGCTAGCATGGTTTGGCCACTTTGGTGGAAAAGAGCCCAAAGATGATAGTGCTAACATTTTAGACATTAAAAAGAAGCCATATCGCGATCTCATAATGCAAAACGCTATATCTGTGTTCGATTTTCGAAATTATCTATTTGCACGACAATGTCAATTACTGGGTAGATTGCATAGACCTGTTGAAATTTATCGACGCGCCCAAATATTTGTTTCGTCATTTGCGCGATCGATCAATGACAGCAAGGAAACTGTAGGAAAGTACTTTTTGGAGTCGTGGATTTATTCGTCGTGTATGAGCGTTGTAAACGAATGCGAAGAGTTGGCGCCTGCTAATCATCTTGATGATGCGGAGTTGATTGCTTTTAATACTTCGAAAGGCGAGCTACTTGACCTCGCTAGGAAACAGGTGATTGATTTTTTTTCGATATGCACGATTTGCAAATTATGCTGCTGCTTTTTCTATAAATACTCAGTTACCCAATTAAATTTGATTAGCTTGACAAATTGGGAATATATTATGAACATTTACCATCGGATATCCCTTTTATGACTGCACTGAGTCATTTCCCCTCGTCCCAATTGAATAATCATGATGATGAAGAAACCATAAGTACGCCTGCAATTACAAATCCAGATTTATTGACTGCTCTCCAATCGACAGAAGCCTTTGATTTTCTTTATTTGGTAATAATTTTATCAATTTATGCATTTTAACCTATGAATCCGAGTTAATCTAATATAAAGTGCTTCGTTACCGATAGAAAATAACGAATGCCGCACAAAGAGTTTATGAGGCAAGTACTCGTACACGAAGTGTGTTGCGATTACATGGTGATGTTGCCGCTCTGCAGTTGTAAGGAATTTTTATACGTTTTTTTCTTCATATATATATTGATGTATAAATTTTAATAGATATTTTTCGTTAATTGATTATGAACATAGTCATCGTCAAAATTATAGTGATGCTGCTGCATTAATGGAAAAGTTACCGTGGAGTTACGGTGAACATGGTTGGTCTGTAATTGAAAATAGTCTTTTGACTAAGTATGCCGCGTGTTTAAAAAAATTGGGTCATGTCAAAAAATATCCTTTTCCTATAAAATGTGGGTGGATGTGTGGCATGTGCATGTATTATTATCGTTCTAAATAATATTCCTTAATATAACCAACACTTATGCGGTTGCGTGTGTGACGCTGCTAAAGAACCACGCGTTATTGACTAAAGAACAAGCTGCATTTTATGGAGAAGAATTAAAGGAACTTGCGGTTACTTTGGAGATTGGTAAAAAGAATTATTTTACGTTATGATATATTTTGGATTCATTATGGTAATGATTCAAATTTATTAATTACCTAGAGGTCTTAAGATCACTCAGACCGATGTTTGCAGTTCTAGTAACATCAATAGTCGACTATATTACTGATGATGAACCTTATTTAAAGGTTCAATTAAAAAACAATTTATTAACGGTAATTTTATAATTTTTTCATGTCTCGGCTTTAGAATTCTTTTAAACTTTTTAATTTTTTCTTTAGACATTTACTTTTGATCAACTCGCAGTCCGACTAGTCAGCGGAGAAAACGATGAAGTTTGGTTTGTAATTAGAGACGAGGAACTCAAACCTGGAATTAACACGTATCATCTTTATTCAGATGTAAATAAAGAAATTTAATTGGTTTTATCTGCATTGCAACTTGATGTTTAATTAATCAAACAATTCTCTTTGTCATTTGTTAGACTACAGCATGTGGAAGTTATGTAGTCGAAAATTGTCGTATGAATATTGGAAAAGTTGTATTCACACACAATTTCCTAAACGAAGGCAGGAAAAGAGCTTTTAGAATAAATGATCATCCAGCAATTTTAAGAGCTCAAGTTGTTGCTCCCACCGAAAGTAAGTTTGTTTTTTAATTAGTTTTTTTCCATCGATGAATTCTTTTATAAACATAAGAGTCTAATTAATTTAATAATAGTTCATATTGGTGAACAGCAGTATTTCATTGCACGAGTATTTACCGGTCTAAAAAGTATCGAGGAAGGCACATTAATTCTTAAACCGATTTCTGAAGGACTGTCTTTTCCTACGCAAAATGCGTATCATGCTGTGATCAAGTCTGTGGTTGGTATGTTGTGATTGATGATTTACATTATTTGAATTCAACGATTATTTCAAATTAAGAATTATTTGGTTATAAAAGATGACACGATATCCGATGAAATTGTAAGCGAAGAGGAATTGGAGCCTACGGAATTTGGAATACGGATACCTGCAATTGAACCAAATCGAATAATTTTATTGAAAATTCCATATGACTGTAATTGGGGCTCAATAGAACATAAGGTGAATTAATAATCCTGTGCTGATGATTTATTATTTTTCAGCAATTGATTTTTAATTTATTCTTTTTATTTTTAATTATCGCACAGGTTAAAATTTCTGTGAAATATGTGAGTAATGAGAAATCGCGTGTTTTTTCATCGATTGATACGGTAAAAGTGTGGCTACCTTTCTCTGTTACGGAATTTCACATATTTCGTGATGACTGGTAAATGTTTATTATCATATTTGTATTTGTATAGTAAATAATAATTTTTATTTACTACATATTAAAATGTAATAGTCTATACTTAAAAATGGATATAACATCGAATGGATCATTACCTGTTCGGATATTATCCACAACTCTACTCCCCTCAAAAATGTACAATGTCGTAGACAATGCGGCGCAGACGCAGTCGACTATGGTAAGAAAATTGGGTTATTATATTTCGTCATGTATTTTGAAATGTAGCTAAGCATTTGATCATATTCTTATGATAATATTTTTAGACCTTATTTCCAAAACAACATGCATCTTTTGTATACAAATTATCCAGGAAAGGTAAGGAGATATTCTCAATTTGTATCAATTCTTGTAAAAATTTTCAGGTCTGCTGATTATTTTTTTAATAATAAAAAAAGATGATTCACAAATAGAAAATTCCAAAATAATCAGTACACAAGTACACTTTATTGTAAAACATCGTACGCTTAAAGATGGCAAGTATCAAAAATTATTTATAAGATTGACTTTTATCCCTTTTTTTTTTTTTTGTTAATTGAATCTGATGTTTTCTTTTAGAGATAGAACATTTTATCAAAAGTACATTTAATAAATTATTGAAAGAACATAATTTATTACAACACTCAACCTTTGTCACGGACAATGTAAATGAACAATTACTACAAAATGTGGATTATCATTGGTATGGAATGTCCGATATACTAGAACTTGGTGAATTTGATTCGACGCAGTGTGAACGAATTTTTAATAGTCATGGAGATGCTAAAAAGTCATTGGTGAATGTTGTCGCAGAGTTTTGGAAAGTAGGTATATGCTATGGTGTCTATCCACCGAATGGAATTATTAAATTTAAATTATATGATATAGGAGTACAACCAAATTCATAAAGATGATGTTGATAAACTAGCAACAGGACTCAACGCCAAAATATCATTCCCTATTGATGTGCCATTATCAAAGGTAGAGAAGAAAATGACCAACTATTATTGTAAAAGTGAATGGCATTTAATCATCCTATTTATTAAATTAAGGTTCTGAATACGGTCGAGCTTATAATTACAAAATCAAACCAGCTGGTAGTTGGAGAACCGTGTCATTGCTATTTGATAATTCAACAATCGTCATATTGGAATTATTCACCGCCTGGTGAAGATAAAGATAAGCCCTTGGAATTCTTTTATGACGTAAACGTAGATTTCGATAACTGGTTATTATCGGGGCACAAGAAATTATGCTTTAAATCTAAGGTAGAAATTCAGAATAAAATTTTCTTTCATTTTTTTACGAATCACAATTTTCATTTCACTTTTGCATGACAGGTTGGAGAAATACAAAAATTTTTCATCACGTTAGTTCCTCTTAAAACTGGTCATCTGTTGGTGCCCACTATCCGGATCTCAAGTCTTTCGTCACAAATCTTCTCGGAGACTGTTTACATTAACAATGCGCAGCAAGTTCTCGTTCGCCCTCGTACGCAATCGGCTACCTTCTTTATTGAGCAGCAGCATCGTATTCATCCCATAAACGCCGGTGTGTTTGGTGGGCCAGGACATCATCATCTACCCAGCGATGGATATGATGATGTGGAATATTAAAAGTTTTAGAATAGATAAGATATATGTTTCAAAAAGAAAAGATAAAAGATAAAAATAAATGAAATTCATTGATGAACTGTTTCTAAAGTATTTCTGAACCATTATTAAACTGTTTGTAAACTGTTATTGATTTTAGGGCTAATTATTCATTGATGATCTTAGAACGTTACAAAAATATTGCAAGAACATTGCAAAAATATTATTAAATCATGATTGAATCCATAACTGATACATTAATTATATCATTCTAAATTACATATTGTTCAAAGATCAATTAATTGGTCACATTTTCTAAGTTCAAAAAATTATAAAATTAAAGAAATTTATGTTACTATAGTAATATTTGGTCTCTCTAAGTAAGATTAAGCTCTAGTAAGATTATTAAATCCTTTTCAAAATTTCTTTGATTTCTTCATTTCTTATATGTACCAGGTTATTATAGGTAATTCATTGGAAGTTGTATGCTTTCTCAAGTCCATATTTTTCTAAAAGCTGATAAATTTATTTTTCAAGAAGGAAATATCTTCTAATTGAAGTAACTTCTTTTGACTATGCCATTTCTCTTTGTAACTCCATTAATTTTCAAGAATGTTATCTAGATATTTCTTTTAATAATTGTCTAAAGTACTAATATCTAATGAATTGTAATTTATCAGATTAATTATTATGATTTTCAAAAAGATCATTAAATATTATCTGAACTCTTGTCTTTCAGCTTTGGTCAGGTTGAAATTGATAAGTAATATTTGCTATAATTATTATTCTCAAAATTTCTGTATTGATTATATCTACAAATTATTTTACTCTAGGGGTACCCTGTGAATTACTTGTTGAAGTTGAGATTTCTTCTATGATAAATTCTGGTTATTGAGATATTTTCAAGACCATACTAGTATTAAGTTGTCTTCTAGTAACAAGATTATATATTACTTTCTGATTACTGTCTTCAAGTATTAACTGATCTTTTTGAATTTGTAAAGTTTTATTAAATTTGTTATTTTTCAATTGCTGATGAAGGATCAAAATATTTTGAATAAAATTAAAATTACTAAAAAGAGTATTCATCTTTAAAGAGTTAAATACTAATAAGAAACTAAGCTATTTTATAAGGATATAAAAATAATTAAAAGTGATAAAAATCCAAAGAAAATATTAAAGTAAAAGTCCTATATTTATAAAATAAAATTTTTAATAAGTGATCAACATGTATACATGTATGTACTATTAAATAAAGTGTGTGTAAATCAAGAGGTAAATAAATAAATATCATAAGACTAAAAATCTATTCTTCATTTTCTTCTTCTGTTATTAGTATTTCCATATGTTCAATAATTATTTTTGACTTAAAGTATTCTTTTCTACTGTGATAAGACTTCAGTTAAGTATCATTAAAAGTTTTACATAATAGTTAGTTATGTTAATTTCATAATTTATAGGCTCCATTACCAAGAGTTTCATGAATGTAAAACTATTTTGTATTCCATTATGACTGAAATTTATTTCTGTGAATAACATATTGTTTTATATTGTATACTAGAACTTTATCATCAATTTTGAATTGTGTAGTTCTTTGTAATTTTGAGTCATATCTTTTTTTTATTTGTTATTGCTATCTTTTGATTCAATTTTATATAGTATTGATATCATCTGGTAGGTGATAGATTAAAAAAAATATTCGATCTAATATTTTATCTTCTTTATTTTCATTTTCTGCTATTAGTGATAGATATTTCAAATCAATTAATAATTAGGCATCTCTTCCATAAGTCAAGAAGAAAGATTCATGCTTGGTAGTATTATTTTAAAGTGTTCTGTATACAAATAATGCTGATGATATGTACACATTCTATTGTTCATCTAATGTAATACAATATTTTTGAAGTATTCCACATAAAGTTCTATTAAATTATTCTACTATTCTATTGGTCTGTGGGTAATATAGTGATGAAAACTTGTGCTTAATTCCAAATCAAGTGACAAGTTCTTCAATTACTTGAGCTGTGAATTCAGTTTCTTGATCAGACTGTAACTCTTTAGGATATCTGTATCTACAAATTATTTTTTCAAAAATAAATTTGATGATTATACTGGCTTCTTTATTTGGAATTGCTTTAGCTTCAGGCTATTTTGTAAGTAGATCTATTGCTACAACAATATATTGATTTCTTTTCTTGGTTACTTTACAAGAGTCAATAAGATCGATTATAATTCTATCAAAAGATTATCCAACTTTAATAGAATATAGAGACTGTTTTATTATTCATCCACCAGTTTTTTGACAAGTTTCACAAGATCTAATAAAGTTCTTTATATCTGTTCCCATTCTATTCCATCAATATCTAATAGTAATTTGTTGATAAATTTCATCAAATTCAAAGTGTCCAGCAAGTAAATCTGAATATATGCTAGTCATTACTGCTTCAGTTTTATTTTCTTTCAATACTTGAAGTGATGTGATAGGTTCCTTTCTTCTATTCTTTTTATAAAGTACTTCATTAATAATTAAAAAGTATTTTGATTGTTGATGAATTTTCTTTTGTTGTTCTTCAGTATATCCTACAGGATAACTTTTATTTTCTAGATATCTTATTAAGTCATAATATGTTGTTAAATCCATTGTGTTGAATTAATCAGGTTTAGATAAGTTATTTAATTAATCATCCAATAAAAATTATTCCAATTAGTTAATTAATTAAGTATATCTGATGTTCTACTTTTGTAAATATATTCTTGAGAGTGTATTCATGTTTTGATTGGTCTTTCCAGCTTTATAGGTGATAATAAAGTTATATTCTATCATGATCATTATCCATCTTGAAATTCAGGATTCAGAATTAACTTGTTTAGTAAATAGCTATCAAAGTACATTATGATCAGTAATGATTTCAAAAAGAGATTCAAGAAGGTAATGTCAAAATTGTCTAACAGCCCAGACTATAGCTAGAGCTTCTTTTTCAGTGATACTATAATTCTTTTCTGCTGATTTTAATGAGATACTTGCATAGGCTACTACTCGTTCTCTTCCTTCATCATCTTTTTGAGATAATACTGCATCAAGTTCAGAGTCAGAGGCATCAGTATAAAGATAAAATTTCTTGATAAAGTCAGGATAGATTAGGATTGGAGCAGAGATGAGCTTTTTCTTCAAAGTTTAAAATGCATTTTCTTGATCTACAGTTCAAATGAAAATGATATCATTCTTTAGAAGTTTAAATAATAGTACTGCTATCTGTGAGAATCCTTTGACAAATTTTCTGTAATATTCAGCTAATCCTAAGAATGATCTAAGCTTCTTGATATTTATTGGTGTAGAAAACTCTTGAATTCATTGAATAGTTAAGAGATTTGATAAAATTCCATCTTGAGTAATAATATATCCAAGAAAGGGTAAGTTATCTCGAGTAAAATTATATTTTTCCAAATTGAGTTTTAATCCAGCTTTTCTAATTTATTAGAATACTTTTTGTAGATGTTCCAGATATTCTTCCCATGTTTTTGAATATATATTTATATTATCAATATAGATCATGGCAAATTTCCAGTTATAATCTTCAAGTATACTATCCATAGCTCATTGAAAAGTTGCTGATGCATTACAAAGTCTGAAAGGTATAACTTTGAATTTGTATAATTCTTCTCTTGAGATAAATACTGTCTTTTCAATATTGAATAGTTTCATTTCAATTTGCTAATAACCAGATGTAAGGTCCATAGATGAAAATCATTTTGCATCTCCAAGATTATCTATCATTTCATCAATTCGTGACAAAGGGTAGACATCTTTCTTTGTGAAAGTATTGAGTTTTCTGTAATCAATACAAAATCATTTTTTGTCATTTTTCTTTGCTACTACTACAATAGGTAAGGCCCAGGAACTACTAGATTTTTGGATGATATCTGCATCTAACATTTATTGGATTTCATCATGAATAAACTCTTGATCAGGCAGAGTTGCTTTATAAACCTTTTAATAAACAGGCTTTTCATTTCCAGTATTAATTAAATGTTGAATAATATTGATTTGTCCAAGTTCATTAAGGTCTGTTGCAAAGATATCTTTATATACTTGTAATAAGTTATGTAAGGTATCTTGTTATCCAAGTGTTAATTCTTATTGTTCAACTACTTTTTCAATTTCTTCTTTATCTAAAAAGTATATTTTCATTTCATCCTTTCCAGTTGATCCAAATTCTTGAGTTCCACAAGATGATTTTTCTAATTCTTCTCTAGTATCTACAGGTATCATTTCTTCAATTGGGACAAGTTATAAAAAGATTGCTTGAGCAATTTGTTCATTAGGTTAGATCTCATAAGATTTATTGGAATTGTTATGTAAAAGAACTTCAATATTTCCAGTATATCCAGCATTAATAGTTCCTTCTTTAACTTTTATTCCTTTCTTGGTCAGTGATAATTGAGATATTAGTTAACAAACAATTTCTACAGGAACTTTAATTGCCAAATAAAGATCAATTATAATTGTTTAATGAGGATGAACCAGGATTACTTCTTCTCTAGAATATCTAAGATCAAAGTCTACATCATATTCATAAGCTCATTCAGGCATTTTTCCTTTGTCTTTATCATTATAAATTTTGATCATTAAATTTGCTGACTATTTTTCGAGTTATTATTCTTCTTCTACTTTATCTTCATAATCTCCAGATGCTGTATAGTATTTGTTTAAGATTTCTTTAATTGAATCATAATTACTATCTTCAGCTTTCTCTTCCTTTTCTGATTCTGTATGTTTTTCTTCCAGTGGTTCTTCAACTTGTTCAAATTGTACATAATCTTCACAAATATCTGAATCACAAGAAATTAAATATTCATTATAAAGTTTTACATTAATATATTCCAATTGAGCAAGTTGTTTTCTTAGGAATGGAGATAGTTATTGATAAATGGCCAGGAAGATTTCTTGGGCTAATGCTTCTTCAGATCTATCATAGGTAATATATTGCATCTCTTCTTCTTTATCATAATTA